AGCTTCATGAGGCGCCATCATTTTAAGACGCATTCTTAAAATCCATTGGATGGATTCAGAGAGTAGTTCTAGAAACCTTGTGGACTAAAGTCTGGGAGAAGGCTTTTTTCCCCTTTCTTTTTAGTCCTTCTATCCCTACAGGAAGAAGCAGTCTTAACCTGGGTATATTTAACCTGGAGAACAGTTTCTGGAAATTCCCAAGTGTTTTCTCACATTGGGGGTTTACAGAAGCCAGGGAAGTTTGCATGTATTGCTCTGGAAGGTCAGATGACAGCAGGTTCATTTCATTCAGTTCACATCCACTGAAGGCCTTGTAGGGCCAGGTGCTGATGGACACAACGGCCAGGAAGGCGGCCGGTGGCAGCCCTCAGAGTGTTATGGCCCAGCAGGGTCTCTCCTCTGGGACAGTGAGTCTAAGGGACAGAGCTTCAGCAGTAGAAAACGATCTATACTTTGGATTGACTTGGTTGGCAGGAATTTGGAACTGGAGGCTGAAAGGCCTCAGTAGGGCAACTGTTGTGTTATTGCAAAGGTTCTGAGCACCCAAATTACGCACACATGTCTGCAGATTGAGCAAATAATATGTCTTCCAATGCTCTGCATTACCATTTTAAATGTATGTAGTTTTGAGGTGTATTGCTGAATGTCTAGTAAAAATCCATGTCCTTAAAGGATATGGAAAATGTAATTTCTGACCTATGTGGAGGTTAATGCAAATTTCTGGGGATCAAAGGGGACTTGAGTCGCAGAGAGGGCTGAGTGCCAAGGTGACCTGGGCTGGTGGACAAGAGACCTGCCAGCCCCAACTTTGCTGATCCCACAAAGAGGAGACAGGTTCCCACTGGAGCACAAGGCATGAAAGCTTGGATCTAAGAGGGCCTTCCTCAGGTCAGGGTGGTGCTCTGCTGGCCTGGGCAAGCCAGGAGATTTGATGAATCGCTTTCCACTCTTCCATGATGAGGCATAGGGGGTGCGGGGTGGGGGGGAGACTGCCTGGAGGTAGCAGGTTGGATTGGAGAACCTCCAGGCTGCAGCACCCTATGAGGCTCTGATTTCATACATTGCAACCCAGTGACTCACGGTCTTCTGCAGGGAGAAAGTACTTAAGATACTTAGTTAAGCTTCAAATAATCTGGGTATTGGGGGTGAGTGTCAGCAGCTCTATTTTCTCAAAATATATATTAGAGACCTGAGTCCAGAGCCCCGGCCACCTGGACTTTGACTGATGGCTTCCTCACCTCCCATCATTTGCATCCAACAGGCCCCTCAAATGGAATCCACCTTCTAGCCCAGCTAATGTACTTCTGATAGCTGTCCCGCTCCCTGCCCCTGTGGTAGTCTTCTCTGCATTCCTGCAGGCAGGGTAAGAATAGATTGTGCCATCACCCTGCTCCTCCTACTCCCGACTGGGGAGGCCCCAGACCTAGGACGAGCTGATGGCAATTACAGTCTAACACTGCTTCTCAAAGAACCTTCTCCAATTCCTTCCAGAGGGATGACAAGAATAGTTCAGAATCAGTGGGACTCTGGCCATAGCTGGTATCTCCCCCAGTGGGGGACAGTAAGTGCTTGATTCACCTTATTGGGGTACCCCCTCGCCCCCCACCCCAACGTCTTCTCCTGCAAGACTCGTCTCATCACTCTATTAACCAGGCTCATACTCACAACTAAAGGAATCTGTCTGTCTAATGGAAACTGCAAATAATTTGTGCAAGGCTATTATTGCTCCAGGTGGCCTGGGAGCTCCGGGGCCTGGATCTGTGCCGAGCCACACCTGGGTGGCTCCCTGGTCACCATGCCTGTGATGTTGGAGTCTCAATGACAGAACTGCCTCTGCCATGGAGACCCCATGCCCCCACGGTGGCACGTTCCTTGGCTCTCTCCTTACCAGCTCTAAGTTAGAACGTGTCTCATCATGTCTCTCAAGGGAAGATGCTAGGCTGCCATTAGCCAAGCGGTCTGGGAATGTGTTTTTGGGATTTTACTCCAGGAAGGTGTCGAGCAAAATGTAGGGAGGCTGGAGCTGCCAAATGTAAGATGGGCAGCCCCAGATGATGACAGGCCAGCGCGGTCTCCACTTCCAGAATCTTCCAACACAGAGCCCAGGGTTATGACTCCTCGGGCTGATGTGTCTTTCTTTCTGTCTCACCAAGCCCTGCTTTCCTTCAAGTTCAGCTCAGGTCTCTTCACGGAGACTCCCGTGCAATCTCACGTGTCTACTGCTTTTCTGGTTCTTCACGCTCTCACAGCAGCTCGGTGCAGCATTTAGCTGTCTGCAGTCTCTAGCGGCGTGAGCTCTTGGAAAACGCCTCTCTGTCCCAGGTGACGGAGAGCTGAGGCTCGACAACACTCAGGCTTGTTGTCTGATTTCTCTTTGTTGGGCTGGGAGCTGGGGTCTGCTTTCCGTCACCCCAGTCATGGAGTTGATATTTATCCTATCTGTGGATTTCCCAAGCTGTGCTCACATTCCTTGTGGGGCCTGGGGGGTAATTTGCAAATGGAAGCGTCATTTTATTGGATTTGATTCATTTGACAGGCATGGAACCTGAAAGTTCCCTTGAGCTAGGCAAACAAACAAAAAAATAATGCAAGCATTGAATACTTAGTTTGCTAAGTGTTTCCTCAGCATGATAAGGACCATATGAGAAAGGTACCACAAAGAACTTATTTTTATAGATGAAGACACTGGGGCACAGAAAGGTTAGAGAACTTGCTCATGGACTAAGCCCAGGTTTAAAAACTGGATCTGTTTGACTCCAATGCACATACTCTTAAACATTCAGAGAAAAAATATGTGGCCTGATTTCTAGAAATACTTGACAGAGTTTTCCTTCACTCAGCCGTGACATTCCTGCGACATGCAGAGGGGAGGAGATGATTGACCAGCATTCACGGTCAAAGATGCTGAAACACAGAATTGAAGTAACTTTGGTCATGATTAGTCACGGGGAGCGCCTGGTCCAGCTCTAAGTTAGATTCATTCTTCAAGCCCTGGTTCCTCTGACAGAGTAAGGAGGAGGAGGGTAACTTGTGGCCGCCTTCTAACCCTGGGCTAATTTCACGTGTCATTCAGCTCTGGGGAGCAGCTGTGGAAGAGCAGGGTCCTCTGATGTGAGAAGAGGGCTGCAGTGTTGCGCGGGGTCCGGCCAGGTGGTCTCGAGCCACTCAGCTTCAGGACGGCGCTGTGACTGACTCTCGAGACTGTATTCGCCAGCATTCCCCTCACTGGGCATCTGTGGAGGTGACACTCATTTTGCATGTCCATCTCCTCAAATATGAACCAATCTGTTCCAAACGTGTGAAATTTGAGAGACCTGGATTCTCCAGCAGAAGATGCTCTCGGTTAGCGTGGCTTATGGAGCCTCACAGAATGGGATTGACACTTTTTGATCAATTTGGGGTTTTCTTGGTTGCCATCTAGTAAAGCTTTCATTCATTAATTCATTCATCAACTTATTGATTGAACCAATTAAATTTGATAAGCATCTATTATTGGCAAAGAAATGTGCTAAGCACCAGGTGGTCTGGTGTATACACAAGACTGTGAGCTCCTGGGAAAGTTATGGCTTCAGTCCTGCCCATGATGTTGTGTGGCCTGAGTAGGGGCAACATATGGGAGAGGGAAAAAAAAAAATGGAGAACCAGTCCACTGAAGAAAAGGTCACTTCCTCTGCACGCCGGCCATTTCCATCCTGCCCAGGGAGCACGGAACAACTCCATTCCTTACCGCTCTCCCCATTCCAAGAAAGCTCCTGCCAAGGCCATGCAGGTCACACCCTTGGCAGCGACAAATGTGGCACAGACTGAACAGAAAAAGACTTGTCCTGGAGAGATAGGAGGCTAAGCTGGCAGCTCCAAGCTGTGAGGAAGCCTTTCCTCCCGGACAGGCCAAGCCCAGTCCCTAAGCCTCTGAAAAACTCCCGTTGGCGGGTTCTCAGGTTTCCAGAGTCAGACACTTACAGCTTCGCTCTGCCAGGTATGGGGCTGATGAGAGAAGGGGAGGACAGGAATCCGGAGGACAAGGTCGCAGACCTCCCAGAGGCACCCCTTCACCAGAGACCCGCTCCTGGGGGCCCATGGGTCCCGCTCGCGATGGGCCTCAGACACCCGGGCAGAGTTAGGTGATCTGTGAATATTCGTTGGATTAGTTAAGGAATTGATGTTTGAGTTTCCAGTTCCTTGGGACTTGGGATAGAACCAGAGATGTGCTAAAACTGTGGGGACCAAGAAAGGGAGACTTAGAAGTGGCCCCCAATACATAATAAGGTGTAGTTGCTGTGGGGACTTTTGGAAACAAAACAAAGAGATAAACGCAGTTTGGCAGTTTGAACTTCCCTGAGGTCTCATCCAAGCACAGAGGCATCCACTGTAACTTTGTCCCGAACACAGACAGGAGCCCAGAGCCACTGCCCCCTGAACCCCAGCTTGGGATGGAGAGGGGACCCAGGGGGCAGCTGTGTGAGAGTCTGGGCTTTGATTCCAGGAAGGAAGTGTGTCCTTCCCTTGGACCCAAACTCAGCACAGAGGGAACGCCCGGTGACCGTGTGCTGACTGAGGGATGGACGGTCGCCCCTTCTGTGGAGACACGCCCCAAGTTCTCGGCTGGGCTTCATGGCCTCTGCCACCGGACAGCAAGACCCACCTCTCACCCTGTCTTTCCCCCAGCGGAGCCCAGCTCTGGCGGGCAGGTGACAGGCAGACAGACAGAGGGTGAGCAGGCCTCCCAGGTCCTGTCAGGCAGTCAGGAGGTGGCCATGCCCGAGCATGGGTCACGCCAGGCACCACCCCGCCAGGGAAGCCTGCCACCTTGCACTTTTTACCATTTCAGATTATTTTCAAGGTGTGTTTAGTAGCCTGGAACAAACTTATTGCCTTGCAGGCAAACCCAACCCATAACTATTTGGGATTATCTCTCCTTCTAAGCCCAACCGCCAACTCGGGTGTATATAAAGGGATTTGCTCAGCACAGGTCTTCAGTTCCCGTCCCTCTTCCTCAGAGTCGCACTGTCCTTGCTTAACTCTTGCGCGTTTCTGTACCAAGCGCTCTCACCATGAACAGACAAGGCTGCAAGACATCCGGGGGCTTCTCCGGCCGCTCCGCCGTGGTCTCCAGCAGCAGCAGGATGAGCTGCGTGGCCCGCACTGGGGGAGCTGGCGGAGGGGCCTGCGGGGCCCGGGGCGGAGCCGGCGGCTTCGGCAGTCACAGCCTCTACAACCTGGGCGGCTCCAAGAGCATCTCCATGAGCGTGGCTGGTGGCTCCCGGGCTGGTGGCTTCGGGGGAGGACGTAGCAGCTGTGGTGGTGGCTTTGGGGGTGGTTTTGGAGGTGGCTTTGGAGGTGGCAGAGGAATGGGAGGTGGCTTTGGAGGGGCTGGTGGCTTTGGAGGGGCTGGTGGCTTTGGGGGGGCTGGTGGTTTTGGAGGGGCTGGTGGTTTTGGAGGGGCTGGTGGCTTTGG